TCGGACATTGGCTCGCTGTCCACACTGCAGAAAAGTGTATGTTAATTATTATCCATAGACCTTCCTCTATTTAGCACCAGCAGTTACATTCACTGGCTGCAAGTAAAATATTGGCATGTCATTCCATTCTTTTCATCCATACAGTTCATCGATTGGCCAGAGGTACCCTAGAAAGCGGAGTTTGATATGTTTCCTGCTGTGCTTGATCTGCATTATAACGACTGCAGGATTGATTGTAAGAATAAAAGCATTTTTAGAGTTCATTATTTCAAAACGCACCGTCATTTCAGAATACCAGGAATCCTCTTTTCTGTGTTCTGTTTCTCTTTTTAGGCTGGCACGTGGTGGAAGGCACTGAAATATAAGGGGATTTATGCCTCCTGGGTATTTTTCATTCTCCTGGTGCTGATCACTTTGGTCCGAGCTTTACATTGGGCCTGCATGAAAATCAGTGAACCGCTGCACAACTACTCATCATAGGAGTGATGAATGTGGAGGAGGAAGGGGTAGAAATTAAGTGTAAGAGACGAGAATAAAGAGAAAACAGAGCAAAAAGATTTTAATAAAGTGATGCTCTGTCAGGAAAACATCCAAGTCATATTTCACCCCAAAATCAATGCAAAAAAAAAAGTTTAATTTCACAAAAAAATTTAATAATTATAATTTTGGGTTATAATAATAATAATATCATTTTGATTTGGGGTGAAATGTGACCACTTTTTCCCCCTTTTTTTATTTGTATTTTTTCAGTGCTCTGCTTTTGAACCCTGCTCTTCTCTGAACTGATTTCAAATCCAATTTGCCCACATTGCTAATGGAAATCTGTTTCCTAAACACTGCAGAATTAGAAAAAGCATTAAGCCTTGTCAGTAGGACAATAACTTCTAGTTTAGTTGCACAATCAGTAACTACTGAAACAGGCTATTTTTGCTCCATTAATTGACATTACTGTGGCATCACACAAATATATTGAAACGTTACAGCTAGAATGAGAGATTGTGGCTGAATTGCTGACACAAAGTGTAAGTGCCTCATGAGACAATGTGCACTGTTGTTAAAACTTAAGCAATTTTTTCATATATGAAGGAACTGCAACTTTTAGCTTTGTTGAAAATTGTACCCTGGCCTGGCACATCAAATGAAGGGTATGAGCAAGAAAAAGGAAATGAAAACACACTGAAACATTTGGAAGGTTTAGAAAAGAGGAAAAGCAAAACTTTTTTTTTTTAGACAGTGCATTTTAGTGCATATCACCTATTATTGGAATGTGCTATAGATTGGACCATAGGCAAAGATGAATTGATTATTCTTTCGGTGTAGTTTATTGCTTTTCCGTAGATATTATTCAGTGACTCTATAGGGGTTTCTTCTTCTCTGTGGCCCAGGTTTAGACCAAACCTTTACCTTCCTTTTCTTCCTCCTACAGCATTCAGCATGTCTTACTGTATATCTCCACCCTCAAATTCAGCTTCGGCAACAAATTATGCTTTGCTTACTAACTAATAATGTTCAAATATCCAACACAATGCAATATTACAGATCATTTTGAGATTTCTAATGATCCTTGTTACCTTTGTTGATGCTATTTTTAAATCAGGCATTGCTGCTCATAATTTGTACCTCTCTGTGGTTATATAGGTATATAGCTGCATTAAAATCTTCTCTTTTATATGCTACGAAGACCTTCAACATTACCTATTAAAGTAGTAGGGGAAGACAATTTTTTTAAATGACAATTTTGACTTTAAAAAATTAATTTTTATTTTCTCTCTTTGGCACAATCTGCACATACAAACTTAAATGCTACTGACTAAATACTCATCAAAGAAAATTGCTGTGATTAATATCTACACTGTTTGAAAAAAGTGTGCAAAAATTGTACAACAGTTTTTCACTGGGACAACTTTATACCTTATCTAAATGTAAAAAACAAAACAAAAAAACAATAGTACTTTAGAGTAATAATAGGCCTAGAACCCTTTGGGGGTAAATAAGGTACAAAGTTGTACCAGTGACAAGCTGTTGTCATTTTTTGCACATTATTTCGAACATCGATTTGTACATCAGTTTACATCAGACATTACATCGATTTGTAATCAGATGTAAATGTACCGGCTGACCAATCACAGAGGCTCGTTTCCAGCTGAAATGAACTTCTTGCACTGCACTCTTAAAGAAGATAGTTACTAATAGACATAGTACTTGTACCTGTACCTATTCTGTGAAATTCAGAAGTGACCAGTATGTTTTTATTTTTGCAGAGTTTGATTTGTTTACATGAGTGTGCAGTTGTAGTACTGTGCATTTACTCTTAAATTTTTATTGAAAATGCTATATATATATATATCGATATATATTTTTGCGCTACATTTTAGCGATTTCGCTAACAGATTCTACCCTTGTCATTGTTGATAATTTTTGTATTTTCCTTTGTGACTAAAATGTTTTAATCTCTTTTGAGTATCTGTGTGTGTGTTGGGAGTTCTTACTGTTTGCACAATTATTTTAACTGACAAACAATGAAATACTACAGTGAGGATAAAAACCTCACGTTTGGTAAGTTCAAGTCAAATGTTAATGTCATAGGGATAGTTCACCCAAAATTGAAAATTGTAATTTACTCACCCTGAAGTTGTTTTAGGAATGATACTGAAAAAAAAAATGTCATTGTGAAATCTGTGATGTGATTTTTGGCATAAAAAGTGTGCAAGTGATTATCTTAGCTACCAGAGAGAAGTTGCTTATGAAGGTTACAATATGCAAACATTCAACTGAACATTGTAGTGGTATTATACCTCATTTATTACCTTGCAAAAAATGTTTTAATACATATCACTACGGTAGCACAGATGTCAAAGAAATAATTGCTAATGTTTTCCAGCCACACAGACATCTGAAAATCTGTTTTAATTGTCAGCTATTTGAGTTATTATTAGTTACATTATGGAATTGGCTTAACTTTTCCTGAAAATGAAGATTTACTTTGAATCACCACAGAATGATTATTTACTTATTTATAAAACACATTTTATGGAATAATAACTAATTAAAAGTATAGTTTACCAAAAAATGACATCATTTACACACCCCCATGTTTTCAAATTCTGTGGATTGAAAATATCCTATCCACTCCTGTCATGCCTGATTCATGTGTTGAGTCTTTTCATTTGGTCTATCCAGTTCACAAATGATGCATTCATGCATCTGACTGATCCAGTTCTGGAGTTCATCATTTTCTTTTTGTATTCCACAGAAGAAAGTCATACAGGTTTGCAATGACATGGGGGTGAGTAAATCATAACAGAATTTTCATTTTGGGGTAATCTATCCCTTTACATAATTTCAAAGCAGCTTACGACAAAATATAACTTTAGATCAAAGATGCAAATCAAGTTGAAATATTTCTCTTTTTTCTTATTTACAGTAATATTACCTCATGACACCTGACTAATAATGTGCCCCCTCTGTTTTTGTTACTACACCACACTCAGAAAAAATGGTACAAACCCTGTCACTGTGGCCGCACCCTTTCAAAAGGTTCTATTATGTATAATTTAGGTCAGAGGTGTCCAATCCTGCTCCCGGGGGGCCACTTTCCTGTGGAGTTTAGCTCCAACACCTTTCCTGCCTGGAAGCTTCTAGTGATCCTATTAGCATCTACGTTTCCACGAAGAACCTTTAATATCCATGGAAACTTTCTATTGTACAAATGGTTCTTTACAGTTGAAAAATATTCTTTAGATGATTAAAATGTTCTTCACACTTAGAAAAAATGGTTCTTTTAAGAACGGTTCACCGAAAGGTTCTTCGGGGAACCAAAAATTAGTTCTGTGGCATCACTGCAAAACCCCCTTTTGGAACATTTATTTTTAAGAGTGCAGGAGCAGGATTGGTCACCCCCGATTTAGGTACCTTTAAGGTACCTAATATCAATCCTTTAGGATTAAATGAGGTACAAAGGCGTACATTTGGAAAGTGTACGCTTTTTCTACCATTTCTTCAAAGAGTGCAAGGTCTGCAGGCCCCAACTGTTTATATGTGACATGTCATGAGGGTCAAATTTTCAACATTGAGATTTATACAACTATTTAAAAATAGAAAAAAATCTAAATACTGTGAAAATCACCTTTAAAGTTGTTCAAATGAAGTTCTTAGCAATGCA